ACACACACACACACACACACACACACACACACACACACACACACACACACACACTTTAAATAGTCTGTAGTGTAGTGAAAACCAAATATGAGTGACAGATTAGATTACACAAAAATCATGGGTAATACATTTGTAAATAACTGGACACGAATAACTTGAGCTTCTTATATAATATAGATTTAGTATATTTGTAGCTCATTTTCTTTCTTCAGGTGTGAAATGTAAAACTGAGGTCAGAGGTCAAATGTGGCACAATACTTTTTGAGACAAACTATAATGTGATATTTAGATTACCCATATACCAGTATAATTTCCTAAATGTCGCCAATACAAACAAAGGACGCTGAATTTTAAGTGTAGTTTTAAAGATAAAAGACATAAATCAATAAGTTGACCTTAAAGACTTTGGTGAAAGTAAGCCAAATATTACTGGTCATCATGATCCCACTCTACACTCCCACAAAGTTTTATCAGAATTGATTCGAAACATTTCCGCTATCATGATTACAGACAGAAAGATATGCATGCAAACACAACCAAAAACATGACCTCTGTGGTAGAACTGCTTTACCTGAAGGAAATGAGGTTGGTGTAGCAGAGGATGGGGCAGAAGAAAGCGAGCAGGAGCTTCCAGACCTCTGTGTTCCTCTTCATATCACCCCACCAGATCTGGGACAGCAGAGACTGGAAGAGGAGAGAAAAAAAACAAGGACTTATCCATCAGCAGTACTGGCTCAACATGGGGATATGTTATTTTGGAAGCATTATGCCATTTTTCATTTGTAAGTAATTTATACTGTTGTACTGTACAAATCTGGATGATCGTGTATACAAGTTCTTCATAAAAAGCAATACTTTTAGATAGGAGTAGCTAAATAATTACAGATCAGTGTATAAAGATGTATAACAAGGCATTGTGTATTAGCATATTTATTTATAGAGACTGTATATGTATACATTAGTTTGTATAATGAAAACAGCCTTATGCTTCATCAGACCATTTCAGTTTCAGCTTAATATATCAAGTGCTTTTTAAGATGTGTTTTTTGAAAATTTGTCCATGTACCCACTTTAAGGTCTTTTTCTCCACATCTAAATCTGAGGCAACGTTTGAACACGAATATCTCTATTAAAGATAAAAGACTGAATTTTCACTGTCCTTTCTTACCATCAAAATTGATCTGTAACTTGGGACAGATGCACCAAAAATGTTGTAAGTATTGGTTAGTTAGAATATAAAGAAAAAGAAAGTCCAGCATTCCTGCAAAATCCCATATTTGAGCACATGTTAAATAAAAACTTCAAATTGCAAGAGAACTACTGATATTTTTGTAGTTTATAGTTGAATAACACAATGTTGTAAAATAAATCTGTAGAAAACCTTTTTACCATGAAATAATTCACACTTACAAAACAGGAAGAATTTCATTCTACGGGGGATAATATGACGTACAACAAAACCAAAAATATCTGTCCAAACAGAATACAGATGCTACTCCAATTCAGAAAATAATTTTGTTAAATATGCGTATGTTTTTGGGGTTTTTTTT